CTACACGTACGTAAAGGCTGTGTGAGTGCCAGAAATAATTATTTGCTTGAAAGGCTACTCCAAAGTACAATGGAAGTGACCATTCAGCCTTCCTACTACTAGCACGTAACTCGTTACCTGTAGATCATCTGGCTGCTGAGTGCTGGCCGTGCAGTCCAGTCGTGCACACCAACTCCTAACTGACGTATGACTGTATACCAGATACTAATAATATTATACACTAACAAGCCATAAGGCCCTCCCTGCCATGCACTAACCTATATTAATTAGTAATAGTAGGCATTAGTAATAGTAGGCATTACTCCATTAGGCAGTAGGCTGGTGGGCATTTTTAATAGGTAACGCTTTCTTGTGAAGCTTTTGCGTTCTATTATTTCAATTGAGTATTGAGTGTACTATTTATTTCCGAAATTGGGTTGTCTTTTTGCTTTGACTCTTACTTCATGGTGTTGTGAATAAAACCGTTCTCAAGTAGTAGTAGTAGTAGTAGAGAATGTTCAATGGCACTGAAGACACTGGCATGCCTGATTGCAGAGAAGAACGTCGACCTACACGTATCGGTTATCATGGGTCAGCTCCGTTGTAAGCTGTCAGTCTGCCTTATGCGATGGGCAGTCACCTGTTTGCGTGGTTCAAGATCGTCATACCGCCGCAACAGGATGAATTTCACGACGATGTGCAGGTTGCGGGCAGCCTGAGCGTGATAGTACCTCACAGACATTTGCCCAACATTGTCCCATGATAATGAATTCTTGAGTTTTTGGACATTGTATTGCATTGCTGCTCCATCTACATGGCTGTATTTGTGTTTCACATCTCCATTTCAAGTTTCCTAATAAAGATTGTGTCAAGTAGTAGTAGTACTAGTAGTAGTAGTAGTAGTAGAATTTATTATTTAATAGTGTTTTAATACCAGTATACATGTACATGTACATTGTAGTATACATGTATGACTGTACTTGCAAGATCTGCTATACATGTAGCATGCTGGTTCGCCAGGTACTGAGTCTGTAACCACCTGGTACATGGTACTAGTAACTGCCAGTACTATACAGGCTGAGGTTTGTCCTGACAGGTGTGTTCTCAGTTTCAAATTCAATCCGATTTCTAGGCTACATCATACATGTAGTAGTGTCCTTGGCTTTCCTGTACTGAGGCGGTGTGGTGAGGGAACACCTTTTTCACCCTTCCGCCAGCGATAAACAACTGTTACTTGTAGGAGCTCTCTCTCTCGCGCGCCCGCGCGCGCGCGCGCTCTCGCACACACACATGCGCGCGCTGATGTGATGCATATACACACACGTACTAGGAATCTTGCGTAGTTTGGGCGGTACTGCAACCGCGGGATACCCGACTCACTTTGTAGATCTACCCTCACTGTACATACGATCGACCATCACCGACCTTGGCAAGCAAAGGCTCTATCGCGCTGTTCTGTCTCTGATCGTATCCAAGTAACAGTTGTACTGCGTGTTATCAGCCACCTGAAGTAACGAAATCAGGGAGTCGTCAAATACCGGGTATTGGACTCCCTGAACGAAACCTTTACCATTCTCAATGCCATTGTTTACTTGGCGGGCCTTGCTTGTTTTATTGTTTGTACCGGTTTTTGGGTTGTTGAAAAACCTCACATGTTATAGCATTGCCCTGGTTACAGCCTCGTGGAGTTGTAGTTACTCTACGAGTCGTTGTATCAAGCAGCTTGAAGCTGACTGAAGCCGGTATTTTCCGTCACACCTAGTACCTGACACGCACCATAGCCCTACTGCTCTGGTCTCTAGTCTAGCTACTGTACTCACAAAGACTTTAAAAAAAGTCAGTGCTCAACACATCCACCAATGCCAGCCCAGAGTAATACAGGCACTTTTGCAACTCACTACTGATATGAGTCTGTGCTTCTACTAGTACTAGTACATAATCTTCTATTCCGGCAGAATGCCCACTATCTCTCTCGCACACGTACTTCTCTGTCACCAGGCTGCATGCATTCTACCAAGGCTGCAGTAGTTGAATATTCGGTGCATAAGTGCAGCATTCACGGCCTGGTCGATCTAAGGCTATCTACCGGAGGCACTACCCACATGCACACTCAACGAACACGTATTATAGATCTTGGTCCGGTACGGCCTGGAGAGGAGTTTAGGAAGAAAAGAAGAAAGAATACGACAAACTACAACAACTGAACTGAACTATAACCGAACCACAACTGAACAACAACAACTAAACGGAACTGACACAATATAGAGCAAGGAAAAGGTTTTATAGCCAGCGATAAGAGTTCTGAGAAGTAACGGGTGTTGAGGAAGATACTTGGAAGACACTTAGGACAAGACCAATGGAAGAACTAGCTATTGGTGTAATGTTTTTTTTTATTTTTATTTTTTATTGAAAAACCACAAACCTTCAGACATGTGAATGTGCACATGATATACAGTGTACATACGTATGTATCGAGAAGGCAGCACGGAAACGGCAGTGGTGGTGAGGCCTGGGCAGCTCGTCCGACCGTGGGTCTCGGAGTCAACACTGGGCAGACGCACCGGGGGGGGGGGGGGGGGGGGGGTAGCTTAGGAGATAAGGGATGAAGCCAGCATGATCATAGTATGTAATGCATATGCAGAAGTAATAATGATGTTAATCTTAAAAACAATAGTGCGGTGGACCTGCGCAGAGGAAAGGCATCATGGACATGATCTACGTGTATAACATAATATTATAATAATTAAAAGTGAGCTAGGGCACATCATACACACACATATGCGCATGTTCAAATAGGAGATCAACCTGATGTGAGTAAAACGGGAGAATTGTAATGTACAAAAAATTAATACGAGCTAGTGCGCAGTAGATGTGAACGCCGGTGTTAGTATGTGGGTGATAAGAGCTGTCAACCGAAATGCAGGATACTACGTCATTGTCTACCAGCAAGGTACTGGGTAGGGATACTACATAAGCAGTCCACATGGTCCATGCTGTGCTGTGCGCTAGGTGTGGATTTTTGGTAACGACCAGCATGCAGTTGCTAGAACAAGGTTGTGGAGATCCATTCGGCAGGCCAGCTGCATGCTGCGCCACTCGTGCATGTCTGTTTTCGTAGCACAGTTCAATGAACCAAGCAATGAAGCATGTCAAAATGAGTGATTTTTATAATAATTTGATAACCGCAATCAATAAAATTGTCTCCTCGCCGTGTGTTTTATAATAATAATATTACATTAGGCCAAACTAAAGAAGGTGTGTGGTTCGACTAACATGGACATTTTTTTTACGGGCGGGCGGGCGGATTTTTTTTTTTTAATATATTTTTTAGTACATGTAAATACACTGTATATGCGTATCGAGTAGACTCTACTACCAGCACAAGGCAGCAGTCGTACCACTCACTGCACTGCACTGCAGTACAACTACAAGTCAAGTCCAAAAGGAGCCGCCTGCGTCCGCAGACTCACGCCGCACAGCACGTAGACGTGGACGTGTTCAGTCCACGTACGTCATGTCAGTCACACGACAGCCCGCCGAAAAAAAGTTACGGTCGGGCTGAAATTGTACGGTCGGTCGGGTGCGGAGTCGAACCACACACCTTCTTTAGTTTGGCCTTATTATTATTTGTTGCAAAGACAATTACAATGCTTGGTAGATCTACCGGTATAACCTGGAACTGTGGAAGAGACAGAGTGATGGAGTGCTCGCAATATCGGTTCATAGCGCTAGTAGTACCGGTATTGCCATTGCCATCGGGCGAGTATTTCGCGTTGACTGCATGCAAACACTCCATCCACTGCCTGGCACTGGTACTGAGTGTGTTTGGGCGTGTGTGTGTGTGTGGGGGGGGGGGGGGGGTACAAAAGGGAGAAACTTGAGCAGTTGAGGGAGAGGGGGGGGGGGGGAGAGTGGAGCACCCTAATACAGAATTATACAAGTAATAATATTAATACTACTAAAGTAACTACTTCAACTTACTAAGTAAGTGTATCAAACGTACAATCATGATTGTATTTAGACACACACACACACACACACACACACACACACACACACACACACACACACACACACACACTTACTTGTACTTGTACAACTTGTACTTGTTGCACACTGCCAAAACCGGTCACGTGGGTCTCCCCGGGAGAGGGGAGAGAGACTCAAAAGGAATCTTGGAAAGATGACTCAATTGGCTATTGAACCGCCCAACGGCCGACACCCCCTGAAATCCCCAAAACTCTGGGTGGACTTGAAAATGATCCCACTTATGGGCTCACCACACCTCAGTAAGTGGGTGAGGACAAGGTGCAGAAAAAGGATTGACGGCATCAGGGTATCCGTCCTGGGATCCAACTGCAGTTACCCCTGCCCCCAGTGAAGGTAATACGTGCTACTAGTGTGGGTGGCTAAATCAGAGTGGATCTGATATTAGCTTCACTAGCACCATTGATTACACAAGAGTTACACACACACACACACACACACACACACCACACACACACACCACACACACACATTATGGTACAGTATGGGAGTCGTGTTTTATGCAGAAACTTTCCTTTGCTGCAGTTCAAGTCAGGTCTCTCTCTCTCTCTCTCTCTCTCTCTCTCTCTCTCTCCATTTTGTACCCCCCCCCCCCCATACACAGGCATACAGCATGTGTACATGTACAAGTATGTCAAATCTTGGGCCAAATTGAGGAGCATCAATCACGATCATACAAAAAGGGAAGTTAGCGCAGACCTCCGCTACATACTGGCCACTCCCATCATAAGTAACCGATAGTTGACAGGCCGGATTGCAGACCGTGATTTGCGTTGGGTTGACAGCTGTGTACTGTACAGGAAGTCCACCGCTGCTTCGAAACCTACTGACGTCACACATGTCCGCGCACACATAAACACAGCTGAAGCAGGACCGACATGTACTGTAGGTGTTTGTGCAGTTGCTGAAACCAATTCGCAGGGATTGGCTGTTACTCATTGAACTCGAGGAAAATGAAATGACGCCGCTGTCAATAATTTCAAACCACTCTTCTTGGCACAAGGAGAAAGTAATACTAGACTAAGTACATTCGGCATTATCACAGGGAGCCGAGTGAATGCCCTTATCATGACGGAAGGAAATAGGACTGACTGGAACTGAGAAATTATGTGACTGTTGCTCATCTGAAAGAGATCATTCCGTGCACAAAAATAATTTTGTACCTAACATTAAAAATGTACTCTGTGAAAGAGGAAAATGTGCATGCAGCCTGTTACAAAATATCAGTTTTCAACTACTGATCGCGTAAAGGAGAATATCAGACACTCATCTGTATTCAATCTTCTTCTTTTTTATTTTTCATATTTTGGAAGTGGATTAGTTATAATTTGCCATATGTTCGGCGGATCCTGCGAATATTATATTATTATTATATGTTACAGAAAATTAGTGTGTGGGCTTCTTGTCATATGAAAATATCCGATAATCCAGATCGAAGACAGTCTCCAGCTGCTCCATAGTTGTAGAAGAGATTTCGTTCATTAGCTTGATCTTCTCTTCGTTGTGGGCAGGACGGTATTTTGCCTGCCGATGAGGAAATGACAGGCCTGATTCCGGTACCACGGCATGGAGGACTGCATTCGCGTCTTCTTCAAGGTGCTCATATTTTCCAATGTAATTGTAGTTGATTGAGCATGGTTGGCATAGCTTATACGCTGGCATCCAATGTTCATTAAACTCCTCTACTGGATGGCGGAGGAGATAACACACAAACTCACTGAATGTAACGTCATCCCCTGTCACTTTACCATTCGTCGGCGCTTCACGACATTCCTTGATGATGTTCACACCGTAGCGCTCTTTCATGTATGGCTCGTTTGTGAATTTGTCACGAAAGGCCGATATCAGTCTGGACAAGGGGTGGCGAACAAACACAAACTTGAAGTAGGTTCTGAGCATGAGCTCAGCCTGCTTTCGGGGATACGTACTTAGCAGCTTCATACCCTCGTTGTGTTCAGTCCATTCAGGAAGATCATAGTTGGGTGACTGGAGACGTCGGAAAGTATTCTTCCAATTAGTACACGCTACTTTGGGAACATAGCAGTAGATCATCCGTGTGTTTGGTTCGACAATCAGGTGATTCAGCAGAATAGTTTGCTCGGTCCGTGACAGGTTTTTGTAAGACCGCTGAAAATCACAGACATTCCATCGTGTTTCATTCCTTGCTAGTTGGGTTTCCTGCATGCAACACACGCACACGCACATGCCGTAACACGTACACACACACACACACACACACACACACACACACACACACACACACACACACACGCATACATGGCGTGTCAATAACGAAAATTGACACGCACAGCAAGGAGGTCAAAGTTCAAAGTTAGTAAATGGAATAGTGAACAAGTAGGCTTGGAACTTGACAAGCTGGCATGCTGTAAAATTTAAACGGAATATTGAACTCGACCACGGGCGGTATTGTACTTCAGTGGGGTGTCGTCCAGTACCACCATGGGTTTCAACCAGTAATCCATACTGAAGAACAGTCCAGTATCACCATGGGTTTCAACCAGTAATCCATACTGAAGAACAGTCCAGTAGCACCATGGGTTTCACTCACTAATCCATACTGAAGAACAGTACATACAGTAAGCCAGAGAGTTGGATTGCCAAAGACTGTCATAATGTACTAAGGGCGGTTTCAGCGGTCTTTTTTCGGTGTGTGCATGAAACGTGAAGCTCGACTGTTTTCATTCTCTCCACCAAGGCCATCAATGCGGGGCAAATGGTGACTTTCGTGCCTGCCGGGGTCCTAAAGCAGATTATTTGTGCAGACTCAGTTGCAGTACTTACAAAGACTGGTGGTGAAAAGCCGAAGGAATTCTCCGCCACTCCCTGGCTAGACAATGCCGCTCCAATATCAAGTCTGTCTGAGGAAGAAAAAGAATGCATCATTTAAATGTAGTGGATATCTGAACGTTTTTGCTCAGCATTGGTAGCCTACCTTCCGTCGGTTTATTGTTTGGGACTATGTTCCGGGGCACAAGCCAACCGTCTGGACTACATTTCCTCTGTGCTCTAACAGATATGGGGAGGAAGAGGGAAGGGTGGGGGTGGGGGCTGATGTGGTATTACTAATGGCATGCATCAATATGTTTGGGGATGAAATAGGCATGGAAAGGAAATGATTGCGATTCTGGACTGGAATATGTACGGCGCTCCCGAACAAACCGTGATGTGCCATGTCCAAACATTTTTGATCATTGATTTAAAAAAAAAGAATATGTCTACTTCTACATGACTACAATAACACGAAGACCATGGTCTGTGCGCATGTGTGTGTATGTGTGCACGTGGTGTGTGTGTGTGTGTGTGTGTGTGTGTGGTGTGTGGTGTGTGTGTGTGGTGTGTGTGTGTGTGTGTGTGTGTGTGTGTGTGTGTGTGTGTGTGTGTGTGTGTGTGTGTGTGTGTGTGTGTGTGTGTGTGTGTGTGTGTGTGTGTGTGTGTGTGTGTGTGTGTGTGTGTGTGTGTGTGTCGGTCATGTATAATTCTCCCATTCAAAAATTCGTACCTTTGAACATATCCAGTAGAACGATGTGTTCCAAGCTAGCAACAAGTAGCACAATCAGCAGAATGACCCAGGCTTGCAGCTGCTGCTGCGTATTCCCTGCTCTTCTCCCTGGTCGAAGCATTGTCCTGCAGCGTACTTCACCACACTCTTGCGCGCACGATGAGTAGGTGAGGTGATGATCACGCTGGGATCAGTCTCAGATCGCTGGCTCCACCATAGTTCTGCAATGATTTCATTGATAATGAAAGTAGCCACTTATATGTTTCAATTGGTACCTGGATCGTACACCACTAGCACTGGTAAACTGCACACTGCCGCTCGGGCAGTCTCACTGACCAGGTGCCAAAGAACTCGTTTCGTTCGCTAGAAGAACGACGTTTTGTAACTGACTGCAACACTCAGCCAACAGGTAGCAAAGTGATAGTCACATCGAGATATTTATTGCAACGCTCAAAGGGGTTTTTCAAAGATACCGGGTAGAATTTGGTCATACACTAGCCTAGGTGACACGGTTACTTCTAGCGCTACTTCGCTTGGCTATGCTGCACTACACTCGACAATACTATCAATAGTACAGTACAAGCGAATACGGTAGCGGTGTTGATCAGGCGCGTGCTCGGCGATGGGCACGGGGGGCACGTGCACCCCCCCCCCCCAAAATTTCAATCTGGGTAATTGCAATTGTAATGTATGCAAATATGCTCTAAAATTCAAGAAAGGTTGCAAACAAATTGCAGAAAATTGCCGGGGGGGGGCTCCCCTCGGCTCCCGTGCACCCCCCTAGTTGGGGGGCCGAGCACGCCCCTGTTGATAGTCTACTAATGATAATAATATTAATCGTAGATCTACAAATCATCACATCAGAAATCATCTCTGGGTATCGAATAATTGCTTTGTTTGATTTGAAAACACTTCTCAGTCACAAAAGACAGAGTACAGTCATGTCGATCTACACCACTCACCTGAGGCCTGTATTATACTGACTAGTCTGTGTGTAGTAGTACTCAGTCACTAGTACAGTAGTCTGTGTACGTGGACTCCACTGAGCGAACTAAGTATGTATCTAATATTGACTGAGTACGAGGTCAATATGAAATAAAAGCCGAGTAAAAGACCGAGACGAAGCCGAGGTCTTTTACGAGGTCTTTTATTTCCTATGCTGACCAAGTACGAAGTCAATAGATTTATCACGACTGACCAAAGCATGTGTTCCATCGCTAAAAAGGAGTCAAATATAAGCGGTCAATATAGCCCTAAGGAGTGAAATATGCAGGAATATTTGACCGCTTAGGTATGGCAAAAATCTATGTGAGTCAATACTAAGGGAGTGATAACTACTATTATTTCATTTTCACTGGCACTTGCAGCTTGGCAGGCTGAAGGAAAGACTGATTTTAGTTCAGCTTCAGTGGCTCATGACATACAGTGTAATTGTACTTGACTTGATCGAGGTACTGATTGACCACGTGACAATCAAACGATCGCGGAGGACGTAGACGATCCAGCGCAGTCATCACTACATCAGGGCCAGGTCCCCTCAGGATCTAGGACCAGATCATTCTTCGCCTCGCTGGCAAACGAGTCTGAAGTGACGAGCAGCTTTCACCAAAACTTCTGTCTGATGAGCGACGATGTGGCCGTGGCGGAGCTGAAGGCTGTGAGGGCATCCATCCTACTACAGTCTGTATCGGCTATAGAGTGACCGGATTGAAGAATATATCGGCTACTGTTATGAACCCTCTAAGATTCTCTAAATTGTCAGGATCGTACGACCACACGGCACGAGGACGACTGTTTTCCTTTACACAGTATATTTCACTTCATCTGATAATTAACAATGAACACTAATAACACCAGCTATTTATAGCATGCAAAAACAGCGTACATGCAAAACATAAGCAGATAAAACTGGACATAACAGCGTATACAGCAAAATGCACACAACGCATATAGCGTATGCCATGCAGCAACATCAGCGGTACGGCGGAGTCGAAATACAACATTTCAACGAATACAATGCCATAAGCGCGAAGGCCTTTCCCAATTGAGAACTGGTGGTTTACAACAGCTACAGTGATATTGGTACGAAATATCAAAAGCAAAACATATTTTATCCAGTAAAAATATCACTATAACCAATATTATCGGATGTAATGAATCGAATATTAATTATTATGATAGCAACAAAGAATCAAAACATGCATAACACACTATATTATTATCGGCTATAGTGATATATGCAGCAATGTGATAAAAGCATACATCGAAGCCTAATACTGCTTCCACCTGTAGCAGCTGCATGGCTGTACGGTGTACCATAACAAAACTCATTGACTAACATATTTCGTGAAAATATTATCCTGTAAAAGAATAGGAATGTAAACAACATACCTGTGAAAACACAACCGTTAATGCTACTAACACAACCTGTGACTACAATAATCATGAAATCAACCCCAAAACATTTCTTGCGGTTTACTTTCGTAGAGTTTGCAACTTTGTGTTCCTCAACACAACTTGCAGCTTTCTTGAAAAATATCCTCAACCTTGGTTCTGTCCTAGATCGTATACATGATTCATTGTTTCGTCTCATCATCATGGAGCAGCGTATTGGTGCCCCTGAAGCCATGTGACGTGATACTGTGTTAGGCTAGCCCATCCCAAAATGAAATCTCGCATCGCAGGTGATTCATTCCTTTCCGCAACCGGACTCGCTATAGGGTTTTAATTTTCAGGAATATTGAACATTCTCTGCGAACCATCCTGGAGATGGAGAAAGCCAGAGTTAGGGGGCGTAAATGAACCACGGCCGACTGTTGTTACGCGCTCTCCATACTGCCTGTTCTTCATTCTGGCATGGGTCTGGAGCTGACCCACGACTTCTTGCAATCTTGGCGCAACAGCATCCTTCTGTCTCGTCCAGAAGCTACCGGTACCAGGTCTACTCTTGCTGCTACTATTGGAGTACATGCACAGACACTGATACAAAGTTGAAGTTGAAAAGGTAACTTAAAAAGTACATGATTCATTGATTGTACAGACAGTCAGTATGACAGTAGATCTCTGCAGCGCTGACTGACTCGTGCTGAGTCAGAGTAGAGAGAAGGCTGAAGTGAAGGGACTGACTAGTGAGCAGACAGCGCTTTTCAGTCCATGCTTGTGCGAACATACACGCACATGTAGTTCCGGCACATGATCAGGGGCATGAAACGCCCAGTGCAGCGACTACAATGTAGGCCAGTATGACTACTACTAACTACTGTATTCACTTCGTCATAGTCTTGGGGTGAGACATTGGGGGGTTCACTTCGTCACAGTCTTGGGGAGAGACATTGGGGGGTTCACTTCGTCACAGTCTTGGGGAGAGACATTGGGGGGTTCACTTCGTCACAGTCTTGGGGTAAGACATTGGGGGGTTCACTTCGTCACAGTCTTGGGGAGAGACATTGGGGCAGGGGACACGATAAGATTTCGAAATTGTTCTGACACAATGTCCTGCCACTTCTGGAACCGGTCGGACATGGCCGGACACTGTGATTTTTTTTACAAGTCTGGTACTCAGCACTCATAATAAAAAATAATAATTATTGTCTTCACCAGTTTCACACACGACACCACTGCACACATGCAAGTACCGTAGATCTACATGCTACATCACACTGCGGTATACCGTATTGCTGGTCACATCAAGGATGATACACTGATCTCAAGTATTGTAACACTGATTCAAATCGCTGTGCGTTTTTCAGCAAGCATAGTAACTGTGATATGAGCGTGCAGTGTTTCTGCACATTTCGGATTTGACCTGGTTTTTCAGCGGCAGATCAAAGACATTCATTTTTACGCAGTCGACAAAAGACAAAGTGGGCATCTGCTTGCCCATTCTAACTTCTTGTTGCCAGCTCCAAGATCGACAACATGTCACTACTCGAGTTGGCTGAAGGCTCCCATCTTTGCAAACGCGATGTGCTCTTTGAACAGCACGTAGTTTCTACGCGACGTTGAATTTCTGACTTATATTTCGCTGCTGCTGCTCCGTCGATCTTGCACAGCGCCTGTGCAACAGGAGCGTACTGGACTGGATTTGCAGAAGACTGCTCCTTTCGATAGAGGCATATCGCAAGCTGGCACACATTTCTGACGCCTTGTTTCCCTGGAACAGGGACGTTTTCAATATTTCGGATTGTAGAAGCGCCTCGCGGAATAGTTCCTATTGTAGCGAGAAAGGGAAGAAATTTCATTTCAAAACTCCTCGATCGTTTGCTACGCTCAAACTGGAGCTACACTGAAGTGGACAGCTCCCTGTTTTGCTGTAAAACCCTGTTGTCACAGGTTGCTGCTCCGACTTCGTGAGACTCCCAGGCAGAGCGCCATTGTCCTCAGTTGTTCTCTTTCCCAGCGACGCTATTTTGTGAATTTCGATCGGACAGATTGTCCGTTCAAGAAAAAAAGCGCCGGATTCGAATCGAAAATGGTCGGAAAATGTCCGATGTCCGACCGTTATCGTGTGCCCTGTTGGGGGGTTCACTTCGTCACAGTCTTGGGGTGAGACATTGGGGGGTTCACTACGTCACAGTCTTGGGGTGAGACATTGGGGGGTTCACTTCGTCACAGTCTTTTTTTTTTTGATTATTACAATTTTATTAAAAATTAAAGGTTCTGCGTTCCGGCTCTCCGCCTTCTCCGCGAACATAAGAAAACTAGAGGAGAACAAACAAACACAAGAAGCAAGAATGACACGAAAAGCAGAAATTATGAGAACATGGTATAAATGAGCACGGCCATCAACCTCAACAGGGGATAGCCGCCTCGGCAACAACAAGAGCAGCTGAGTCTGCGGCAAAGACTGGTGCATAGAGCCGCCTAGCACACCTCAGGCACATCACACTGGATCGGACCAAGGCAAAGCGTATCTGACACCGGATCGAAGCCATCACGGCACTGTAGGCCTCTCCGGTCTTGTCGGCGATGAGGGACGCTATCCTCTTGTACAGAGAGGTGGCAGATTTCCCCATGCCTCCCGTAGTGGAGAACACGGCGGGAACAAAGCTGGAGTGTTCCACTTCTCGGATTCTCAGCTCATAGGCACGGCGCTTGGCTTTTTCGTGACGGGTGTAGCTAGCAGCAAGTGAGTTGAGGCGATTCGAGGACGCAAAAGGGTTAAACACCCGGACATCAATGTAGGTGCGCTCGAACCGCCCTCCCCAAATACCACTAGTCACCACGTCAAGGCGGGCTTGGCCGTCGCCCACAGCAGTACGGTACCGGAGCTGCTCTCCAGTGAGCGGCTGCAGATGTGGCTCAATAGCCACCTGGTGGCCAACACGCTTTCGCAAGGCGAGCTGTCACGTCGCGTACCTCGTTGTGGCGGAGGGTTGGGAAACCACCTAACGGGCAGGAGAGGGCATGGCTGACGGTGAACTGCTGTCCACAGGAACATGATGTTGGCAGTCGTACTGGGTGCCAGCCATACCGGAGGTGCACAGCATCGCGGAACTCAGCCTTCGTGAGGGTGAAGCTGTGGGCCTTTAGGGGCCGGCAGGTGAGCCAGCTGGATGCCCCCCGCTCCGAAGCAAGGTCGATGGTACGTTGAACCTCT